CACTAGAGCCTGAAGAAGGGGAATTGTGCGCTTGAGGCCAGCCTGGGCTGCATAGTGAAAACTTATCTAAATAAATAGAACAAAACCTCAGGATGTCATTTAAACAGAAGATTAGGCCAGGAAGCCCTGTGAGTCTGGGATCTTTCATCTTGGAATATTTGAAGTTGATTCTTGTTGCTGTGCTAGTCTCTTATTTGTTCCTTAACAAGGGTAAACTCTGTTTTATTTCATTGTATGGATACACTGGATTTTTCAAAACATTCAGCACTTGAAAGATGAATCATTTCCAGTTTTTAGTTTTTTAAAATTTTATTATTTTTATTTTATGTGTATGCATATATTGCCTGCATGTAGGTAAGTGCATCCGTGTTGTGCAGTGACCACGGAGGTCAGAAGAGGCTGTTGGATCCCCTGGGACTGGAGTTACAGACAGTTGTTAGCTGCCAAGTGGGTGCTAGGATATGAACCCGGGTCTTCTACAAGAACAACCAGTGTTCTTAACTGCTGAGCCATCTCTCCAGCACCCCCCCCCAGTTTTTTATTTTATAAATACAATTGTTACATCAGCATCTGTTAGCAGGAAAAAAGAAAAAGAGCCCCTACCCTAAACAACAATAAAAAAAGATGCTCAGCAAAGCAAATGAAGATATATGAACAAAATGAAAATAAAAAGAGCCAGGAAAGCTTTCAAGGAAGTAAAAAAATAGATAAATTCTTGAGCTGAAAAATACAATTAAAATGAAAAATGCAGTAGAGGTCGTTATCAGTAGAATTGAGGAAATGGAAGAAAATATCAGTGGGCTCAAGGATGGAACAACAGAAATTAAAGAGTCAGAAGAACAGAAAAAAGAAAGCATGGAAAAGTGAACAGAGCTTGAAAGACCCTGGAGACAAAGTGAACAGAGCTTAAAGGACCCTGGGGACAATGTCAAGTGGACCAACCTATACCTTGGAGAAGTTCCAAAAGAGAAATTACAAAAAGAGATTATACAAAATTCAAAAAAAGACAGAGTATCCAAAAGCCCCCAAATCTGATGAAAGATGAATATAGGCATCCAAAAAGCTCAGCAAAGTCTCAGTATGATGAGCTCAGAGCCCTACACCAAGCCATTATAACCAAGCTACTGAACAATAAAAGAAAGCAGAAAGACAGAAAGAACTCCTCCCATAAAAGGCATCAAGAAGAATGTCAACAGACTTCTCACCAGAAACTGAAGACCAAAAGGAATTGGGCTGATAAACACAAAAAGAGAAATAACATCTAGCACCACAGCCCTTCAAGAGTGAAGGTGAAATGAAGACATTCCCTGGCAAATCTGAGAGAGATCATTCCCACTGACTTTCCTTGCAAGATATCCTAAAAGGACTCCTACAGGGTGAAATGAAAGAACTCTAGGCAGTAATACAAAGCTGCAAGAGAAATAGACCCCAGTGAATGGACCTACATGACCAAAACTCTTCTATTTAACTTTGAGTGCAACTTCTTGTTTTCCACTTATTTAAGAGATTATGCACAGAACTGTTAGCCATTAAGTTTATATTTGGGGATACACGCTGTATAAAGATGTAATGCTGTAACATAAACAAAGGAGGGTGAAAATAAAGTTATATAGGAACAAAATTTATGCATGCTATTAAAGTTAAGGTGGCGTAAGTTCAAATCAGTGTTATAGTATTAGGATGCTAAATGTAATTACCATGGAAACCATAAAAGTAACTACAGAACACATGCATACAAGCAAAAATAAAGGAGAAGGGAATTAAACATTTTGTTATTTTTTTTAAAGTCAGGACTGCAGAGATGGCTCAGCAGTTAAGAGCACTGACTGCTCTTGCAGAGAGCCCAGATTAGGTTCCCAGTATCCAAACAGTCGCTAACAACCACCTTTAACTGCAGTTCCAGGGGTCTGATGCCCTCTTCTGACTTCTGCAGGCACTGTACATATGTGATACACTTAAATACATGCAGGTAAAACATTCATACACATAAAATAAAAATAAAAAATTAATATATATATGAATTGAAATGATTGAGGGGTAAAACCTCTTGCCTCTGATCTGAGTTTGATCCCCAGGACCTATGTGGTGGAAGGAGATTCCCACAAGTTGTCCTCTGACCATCAAACATGTGCTATATGTGCATACTCTCCCACACACAAATACACAAATAATATATGTAATAAAAGATTTTAGACCAATAAAACATAAATACAGTAATACAGGAAATGATGGACAAAAAAGTTATAAGGCACATAGAAAACACCAAAGTGAGACAAGTCCCTCCTTATCAGTAATGACCTGATTACTGATACTCAAGTCTCCAACAAAGGAGACAGACTGGCAGAATGGATTTTTAAAACATGACCTAAGCATATACTCTATATAAGACACTCACTTTAGCTCTAGAGACACAAATAAGTTACAAATGAAAGAACAAAGATACACCAAGCAAATCGCACCCAAGAAAGGAACCATGGTTAAATGTTGATATGACTAAGATTATTATATTTATAATTGTAGATTCATTGCTATCTAAAATTTAAGGTAATTTGAAAATACAGTTTTGATGTCCTTTCAAATCATTTAGCCAATTTAAGATAAATTACAGTATTTCTTAAGTTTGGTTTCACAAAGGTATGTCAGAGCCAGATCAAACTGAAGAACAAACTTCCCTGACATCTAGAATTTTCAGAGCTGTCATTAGAAAGCAGGAAGGAGATGTTCAACAGAATTTTCTTTTAAAATTTGGAACAAGTAGTAATTGTCATGTGGGAAAAAATGGTATTTAGATATACACACACACAGGCATGAGAAATGAAATGAACTTTAAAATACAAGGGGGCTGTAGAGATGGCTCAGTGGTTAAGAGCACTGCTTTTGTAGAGGACCTTAGGTTCATGGACGATGACAACAGTCTGTGACTCCAGTTCCAGGTATCCAATGCCCTCTTTTTTCTTTTGTCTTATACATGGTTCTAGAGGGTTAGAGCCCATCATAATGGGGTCAGCATGACAGCAGGTGGCTGGAAAAGGAAGCTGGCTGATTACATTTTCTTGGCACACCATGAACCAGAGAAAGTAAACTGAACGTGCGGCAAGGCTACGTTTGCGTGAACTCTCAAAGTCTGCCCCCAGTGAGATATACTTCTTCTAACAAGTCTCCTTGTCCTAAAAGTTCCATAACCTCGCCAAATAGCACCCCCAAATGGGGTCAAGTGTTCAAATACGTAAGCCTGCAAGGGTTATTTCTTCTTCAAACCACCAAAATGGAGTTAGCACCCCTACAATCAAATTACCTCTCAGTGGCATTACCAACTCTGACGAGTCCTGCAGTACATAAGCCTTTTGATGGGCACTTCATATCTAAATCATAACATTTTTTTTCTTTACCAGTGCTTTTTTGATCCTTTAAGTTTGTTTGTTTTATTCCAAAGAGAGGCAATTTTTAACACATTTTTCCAGAAATAACTTGAAGCAGGTTACATAAATATATACATACAATGAAGTTTAAAGGGAGAAAATAGGAATAAGAAATCAAAGACCAGAGGATTTGCCAACATGGGGTCAACTTTGGTGGAATAATGAAGGTTTCCATTAGCTTTGAGGTTTTTTTTTTTTGGAAAATCCTAACAAGTTTATTGGGCTTGCTAACAGAGAATAGGTATACGGCGGAGGTTTATTTACAGAAGAGTGGGCATCCCCCAATTTACAGCTGCACTGGAAAGTCCACACTCAAATATAGATCCTGTGACTTCCCAACAGCCGCACAAAATGGTGAGAGAGGTGCCTCATGACATTATCGGCTTACATATCTTTAGCCCCTCCTCCACATGCAGTTAAGGTCCACTGATTGGGTGGGAGGGGTCACTGATTCCCCATGGACTCCTGGACAAGCCAACCCCCTCTTCTTACCTCCACCGGCATTGCACACTTGGGTGCAGTTACACACACGCAACCAAAACACTCATACACATAAAAACAACATAAATCAAAAATTTTTAAATACAGTTTACATAAAAGCTCTTTCTTCAGTTAATGCTCTGTGTAATTACAGCTACAAAAAAAACTCGGACTTTTATTGATACAGATGTTCTACATTCAAAAAATTTTAAAGGCATTTCTTTTCTAAATTTTTAAAAATTTATTTATGGTTGTTAGCCACCATGTGGGAGCTGAGAACTGAACCTGATTCCTCTGCAAGAGCAACCAGTGCTCTTAATTGCTGAGCCATCTCCCCAGCCCTTACATTCGATTTTTTTTTTTTTTCTTTTTCTTTTGTCTTTTTGAGACAGGGTCTTCCTGTAGCCTCAACTGTCCTGGAACTCACTTATGTAGACCAGGCTGGCCTCGAACTCACAAAGAATTCCTGCCTCTGCCTCCCAAGTGCTGGGATTAAAGGCATGCGCCACCACTCCTGGCACATTCGATTTTTTTTTTTTTTTTTTTTTTTTGGTCTTTTTGAGACAGGGTCTCCCTGTAGCCCCAGCTGGCCTGGATTCGCTATGGAGACCAGGCTGGCCTCGAACTCATT